GTCCACACAGCCTGGCTTTTTCCAGTAGATGTGAATTTAAATCTCATAAACTGATCCTTAGCAAGAACACAGTTTAAATATTATAAAATCAATGTCCTCTGTGTTTGAACATAGCTCTGTTACTGGTCTGTACCAGGAGTACCTTTGGTTACAGATACACTACTGCAGTGATACACCTACAAGTAATTTCTGTGTTAATGTCACACTGTAATGTGCATTCCGTTATAATGAACACTGATACCACAAAAGGCACGAATGTAAACTATAATTTTCAATTTTCTTCATGGTTGAAAGCAAGCAGAAACACGGAGAGAACTTTTTGACTTGGACTTACTTGAAGATAGATTTCATTTTCCAAAAATAACAACTACAGTAAACCCCATGGCAATACTGACAAAGGCTGAGCTAACTAATCTAGTGCTTTCATCCTAAGTCACTTGCATAATTCTGTGGATCCCCCTGAGCAGCTCTCTCCTCCTTAGGTACCAACAAGCCTCTGTACTGGGTCGACAGGCTGACAGCCTGTAGCAGGATCCACAACCACCTCCCTATAAAAGCAGGAATGGTGTTTCCTCTGCCTTCTCAAGTAAGGTTAATACAGAGACTTTGTGGCCTTCACCAATCTGCACCACAGACTTCAGCCAAAGGGAGGGAAAAAGTGGCATTTAGTCCTCAGAATTTCCTCCAGGTATTCAGGGTAAATCACGCTGGGAGAGAGAAGGTAGCCTCAGCACCGCCACAACAGCTTCAGGGAGGGCAGAAAATTGCAATACAGATTTGGAGGAAGAAATCAGCCCATACACCAATGAGACATTCCTTCATAATCCTTAGAAAAAAGCTTAAACCAAAAGTGCATTTTACTTTTTTTTTTTATTTTAATTGCCCCTTAAGTTTAACCCTGTTAAAATGTTTGTCCAAAAAAGTATCTGATATGTTTTACGTACGAAAAACCTAAGGTCTAAGGACTTCATAAAATACTTTACTATATGGCTTGAATGACTAGTCCGCAGAGAGGACGGAACTTGGTGTTTCTGGACCTGAGACATGATCTGCTACCGCCTGAGCTGAAAGCCTCGGATCTGTGTGAGGATCTGCATCAAGACTCCTGTGCGCTCCCCAAGAAACATGTTCTCCAAGAAAATGTTCTAAGCTGAAATTTTGCCTAACATCCCTGATTGGTAATTCTTGAAAAAAAAATATAATAAAATTATAATGATAAGATTCAAAGCTTCAACTCTTATAGCAGCCTACAACTCATCTCCCTTTCTGCCTAAACTGCAGCTTCCCCCCCTCCCCCCCCCTCATTTGTAAAGAACACAGAGCATCACTTCTGTGCTTTTCTTTTGGCAGGGGCACCTTCAAACCAGACAACACATACTTGAACTATATTGATACAGAAATTTCGGGGAACATTTCAAAAGCTGAGTTTCGCTGGAAAGAGCATCTAGGTCATGTACATGGAGGCTGCATGGGAGCTGAAGAAGTCATAATAATTTCTGGGGAAAACGGAAATGTGTGAGTACATAATCTAATGCTGTTTCATTCTGTGGGTCCAGGGGAAAAAAAAAAAAAAAACAACAAATAAAAAAAAAACACAGGAAAAGGGAAAAAATACCCCAAACACTTTTGCATGTTACCGTGCCCCTTAAAGCAAGAGGGTTTAATTACTGAAAATAAGAGCCTTATCCAAATGTCATGGCAGTACCTGGGTGTTTGGCTGACTGCGGTTACTCCTACCAGCTCAGCACTGCAGCCAGATGTCCCCAAAGAAGAGAGAGATCAAATCTGAAATTCTGGGGGAGAGGTGCAGCCCTGCACTTGTAAGAGAGGTATGAGTTTTTCTCCTAAATTGCGGCACACGAGGAACAGGTCTGCACAGTGCAACAGTACAGTTGCCTCGGCAGGGGACTTTAGGTTGACCCCAACCTGACCCCACGGACCAGGTACCCACTGGTGTCTGCAGTATGTTCGGTACACTTCTGGAGCACACCTCTCAGTTTATTTTTCACCAAAATGAATCCAGCTGATGTGTCCCGACACCACTCTGCCATGTAAACCGAAGTGTGGTAACTGGGGAGTGAGAGATTGCCTTCAAAAGCACACTGCTGGTCCAAGTTAAAATGCTAATACTGTCTGAGCATAAAGGCAAACACATCTTAAAATTTAATAATTAGTCACTAAATAGTAAGTCTTTAAAAAAACCATTTGATAGCATGCACTTTATGTTCTTTGTCTACTAGAACACATCCTTTGACCTAACATGAAATAAAAATCAGATTTATATTGATTATCTGGGGCTGCTGCTAAGAAAATGCCCTATTGTGCTGAAATATATTTCCTTAAACTCTCCTTCCCTCGCCAGGTCTGTGTTCTGCGGCTGTGGGACCGTGCGGCCGGGCGCGTGGCAAGCCCTGACACTTTGCTGAGGCTCAACGAGAAATGCTGTGGTTGCCCGCTGCGGTAACCCTCGCGATCTGGGAGAGCACTCTTCTTCAGTCAGCTGCAAATTATTATGAAAAACTTGCCCAGCCCACTACAGAAGCTCTATTTCCAAATTAATGTTGTCAGCTTTTATCCATACGGGGGTGTTACACTTCTGTGGGTTCCAGTTCCAGTGACAGCTAACATGTATTTTACTAGTAACGCACACATGCAGTGTGACTATATTTCAGAGTTAAGCGGGAAAATAATAAAATAGGGAAGAAATGTCCTAGTCAATTCCCCCTTGAAATGCACTTAATTATCTTAGGAGGAACATCCAAAAAGCAGCAACAAAAAAAAAAAAAAAAAAAAGAAAGAAAAAAGAAGGAAGGAAGATAAAAAATGAAAAAAAGAAGGAAGAAAGAAAAAAAGGGAGGGGGGACAGGTCAAATAGAGCATAGACAGCCAAATTCTTTATTAACACCTACTTGCTTGTTCAGGAAAAGGACACTTTCATGGTTTCAGAAGCATCTGATTGCTTCTATATGAGGAGTCTGAGGAATAATTTTAAATATAAAAACAATCAGAGTTTGAATGGTGTTGCCTGACATGTCCTTCCTTCCCGAAGGACACATGTAAACAACATTTTAGCCGCACATCCAAAAGACTGCTTAGGAGCCGGGACTGCATACCAAGTTGTACAGTAGACCTTGAGAAACTCTGCCGTCAAAGTTCAACTTATGTAAAGCAGGACAGGTTAATGTACAGCAAAATATTTGATTGTTGCCTCTTTCCTGGGGAAGAACTCGTTGATGTGCTCTATTCAGCTCTGCTGAACACCAGGTGAGCTGGGACCCTTTCTCTATACCTGAAACAGGCATCTGCTTTATCAAAACTATGTTGCACCGTTGAGAATCTCCAATTTTCTGGCAGCCTTCAAAGTAACTATTTTCTCTTTACCAGTGAAGCTGAATTTCCCACCTCTACCTTGTCTTTCTGAAGCTGCTGAAGTCAGGCCTGAGCTGTGTGATTTGCACTACCATATAGCATTGCCCCCAGATTTGACAGCATTTTCATTATACTGGTTAACAAAACCAGACTACTGAGAGTTATCAGCATCGGCCAAAATAAGCTAAGATTGTTTCTGTGTCAACACAAGCTACCCACAAAAATCCTTTCAGTTTTTAATTGCCCACTGTGGTCTAAGACACGCAGCTAATTTTTAAACCTAATGTGAGGTTTATACCTTAGGCACAGAAATCCTGTGTGTGAATCAGAACTCTGTCCTCACAACTAGCTGTTCCAGAATACCTCCAGTGAGGTTTACCAGAAGGTGTTAATGAGATGCATTACACAAGGCTGAATGTTGGTGATGAACAGGGGTGTTTCAAATTACGCAGCAATAATTTCGAGATGTCAGAATCCCGTCACCTCCTATGAAGCCTGCCAGAGGAGCGAACCGAGGAGGTTTGCAGCCAAGGTGACAAATCAGCTGTCTACCTTCTCGGACTCACTGCTCCAGTACCCTTAACATCTCCACCCATGCGGAGCAGGATCCAGAAACCATCTTGAGCAGGGAACCTGTCCTCCTCTACCCCTGAGGGAAACTCCTTAGGCAAGACCTCCTTCTTGTGTAAGCAGGGACTCCCCTGGAGAAGGACGAAACAACCCCCCAGGTACTTCTACGCAGTTGGGAAATATCTATAACTAGTAATTACACCATCTTTAACATCCTTCATAAACCTGGCATAGCGCTCTGCCCCAGAGTTGCACAAATAAAGTAGGCTCGGGGCAGGGGGGGAAGGAAGACTTATTTTCCATTTCTTATAGTCAGGAACTGAAGCAAAACAAATCTAAATATTTTCCTTGGGGTCAGGAAAAATCGTACAGCAGGGCCAGGGACTGGGTTGGGTCATCGGATCTAATGACATGAGAGCGCAGTGTGAGCAGTGCGATGTAGGCCATCGCTGCTCGCAAGAAGGAAGCAATGTCCTGTTCAACTCAAGACTTCTATAAAGCCCCTCCCCTCCTACCTCCACACCTACCCGTGCCACTCCTGAAATTCTAAAATGTCATTTGATGTTTTTATGAATAATAAATCGTATTCTTACTTTCAAATATATGCTTTCATTTTGTTTAATTTTAAGCTATTGATTTCAACAGCGTGCTGACAAAACATGACAGCTCATATGGGCTGATGAATTCTGCTATAAGTGTGGTCCAGCTGGTTAGATCACTTAAAAATATACATTTTCTCACCCAGTCAGTCCAACTAAAAATAAAATATTGCATTAATTTCTTCCACTTCTGTTGTCCTGTTCTGCATTTTTGTGATACACTGTTTCTTGAGGTAATTTTCATACTTTGGTATCATAAACATCAACACTGTGCTTCTTTGCTAGTACACCTATAGACAGGGCAAGAGAGATTTATTTTTATAAGCTAAAGGTGAAAAAAAAAAAACATTTACAGCAGCTGTGTGTTGCTGGTAGCAAATAGTCTTCCTCCTGTTTCTTTCTGTATTTAAAAATTAAAATTGTTACTCGTATAAAACCTTTGGATACTATCACTTTGTATTAATGGACCCAGTCCAAAAAATGGAAGGGTTTGATATTTCACTAGACGACCTGCCTTTGACAAAGATTGGAACAGGCAATTCTTTCATATCTTCACAAGAAGGTAAGCCAGCTTTTTATAACAATTTAAATTACATCTTTAAAATGTCAAGTGAGATGGACCATTTGATACGTTTGGCTGTCATGTTGAAAGGTAGCGCTTTTTTTAATCAAATGTACTTCATTTGTCTAGGGTTTTTAAGGACATATTATGATTTGCATTCAGTCTTTTATGTTATTTAAATATTCTGCAACACTATGAGTGCTTCAGAATTACAATACAAATTTCATTTAATACTCCTTAAGCATTTGTTCACTACAAAAATTACGCCAAAGTGAATTACTAACAAAGCCATTATAAAGCATTCAGCCTCAGTCCCTTTGCTCTCTCATGACACTCTTTTGTCAATGGGGTAAGGTAAAACAAACACACATACAAACAAACCTCTTAAATCTTTTATAGAAGGGAACAGCAATAATAAGTAATCCAAAATACTAACTCTCTGCTCCACTTACATCATCTGTACTTACATTATATGTAACATCAAAAAAATAATTTTAGGAGAAAACATATGCTTCTCATAAAGTGATATATGCAGGCATGCTGATGAGAAAACAAAGACCATTTTTGTCAGAGTTCTGCATTAACAGGAATAAAATACTTCATGGAACAGCAGAGAAGACTCTCTTCTTTCCAAAAAGCACAGCCTATCTAAATGTCCTTCATAAATATTCATGAGCCCAGAACCAAAAGCATAAGAACGATTAAAATTAATTAAATAGAGCTAATAGATAAAGACCTCAATGATCAGGTTTCTGCAGACATCTCTCTTCCCACTTTTGATCCTATCCATTTTGTTTCTGTGACTTTTCAGATTTTTCCATGCTACTCTACTATCCTAAAATATATTGATAAAATCCTTGTAAACGAACCACAGATTTGCAGGAATAAGCCTACCGAGTCCTTTTTGGTCTTTCATCTTTGCTAGAGATGAAGCTTGACAAGGTTTTTGTACAGAAAGTGCCTTCATACTGCCTTTAAGACTATCCCCTTTCTGATTATATCATTTTATAGCCCGTCACTTGCCAGCATCTTTCCTTAAAGAAACTCCATGGGAAACTGCACAATTTTCTCCAGGTAAAAATACGTCAGGTTTTTTTTTCTTCTCTAGATAACCTGTATTTCACATGTTCCAGCATGATTTATCAGTTTTTGTTTCTCTTTTCAGGCTTCTGTTTCCCCAAGAAAAGCTAGTTCTTTTCTACACAGTTGCATTTTGATAAGTATTTCTGACTTCTCCCCTTACATTTGATCTAGGTTAGACTCTTTATCTCTAGCATACCAGAAGTGAGTGAATGATTACAGTGGCTCAATGCCTGAGAACACACATCCTGAAGGTACCTCTGGTAGATCTGAGATCTGGTTTTAATTTTTTTTCAGCCCACAGTTGTGTCATACCAGTTACGAACCCACCTGTGAGATCACATTGCCTGGAAGCAAGTCTGTTTTCCCAGTTAACATTCTTGCAGGAGCATCACCTCGCTCCCTTCTCTTGCATTTCCTCCTAGACATTTTTACAATGAAATTATTTACCTACAGTTCCCTCACTCTCTTCCTTCAGTGCAAATTACTGATTTTTCCCACAGCAGGCTCTTCTTCTCAAATGTGTGTTTGTTATATAAAAGGTAAAATAAAATCTTTGGAAAGTGATTTTGCTGAGACTTTAATTCAGTCAGTGTATTCTATGTAACCCCTGCCTCTCACAGTTACGTTTGGCAAGTTCCTGGGACAGAAGCAAAAATGAAAATCTTTGTGCATTCCCAACATTTACTTGAATTATTCTTCCAAAATCAAAGCTGACTGGACTTGCCAATGTGAGGGTAAACAATTGCTCACTGACCTATCATAAATCTATCTACGCAGAGTCTCTACAAAACTTGTGGCTCTCTTCTTCTTTTGTACTAACTTTGTACTTTCAAATAGTCTCCGCAATGCTTTAAGTCGTTCTGTTTCCAATAATTAGGAAGCAGAAGTTGATAGTGTGCCCAAATCTATTTTTATGGCATATTTCCAAGATAAAACAGAGCCAAGAATCTGTTCTTTATCTTTAACCATCAAGGATCTAAAAACTTCCGGAAAGAACATGCATCATCACCAGCCCTCTCACAAACAGAGCACGCCTACACTGCTGTGCTGCAGAAAAACATGCCTCTCCTCCCAGCTAACCGCGAGGTTGGATGGGGCAAGTGTCTTGCAACACTGGAAGCGTAAGCAATATATGAAAATACAGGCTGGCATTGGCGTCAGTCCCCTTTTCATCCCATAATTTTTCCTTTTTTTGACACTAGGAAAGCTTGGGATGGAACGTGGGAGATGTCCAGAGCCCTAGATGTCTAGCTTCTTTCTGAGCCACTGGTCTGTATCTGAGCTGGCCAGAGCCATTCTTTTATCGATCTAGACATTCAAGAAGATATGCATTTGCCTTTCAATCTACAAGGCAAATCTACAGTTATTCCCTTTTATTTCACCTGCTTCTCTCAAATAACTTTAATATTCTGGCATTAATAGGAGATCAAGCATTCAGAGTAATGGACTTCACCGTCTTCCCTTTAATTCTGCTTGTTACTTGTCAAGAAAGCCTGGCTGTCCCTACTCACCCCCTCCTGTCTTCAGTTACTGTCATCATCTGCTCTAAAATTCTCTCCTAGTGTTATTACCTTTAAATGATACTATGCTCCATAAGTCTCTCCAGCTCACAAAAGCAGAAGTTAACATTATCTTTGCTTGCTTTGACTGATTTAATTAGCTGACAGCATGTATTATGGAAGGTCATAAATATTTATCATTTCAAATATATTCCTTTTATTGTTGTTGTGCAGCACGGGGGAGGATACACTAAAGCAAATTGGTTTTGCCTCTATTCAATATAAGACTTTTTCACTTGACCAGAATGAAAACATTGGAGATAGACAATAGAAATATCAAGAAAGTCTTTTATTCATGGCTCTGCCACTCAGAGACTAAAAGTAAGATTCTCCAAGAAGGTGAGTGGTCTTTGTCTATACGTATTAGCAATTCTCTAGGGGATGGAATACACAAAGCTGCTTCCAGATGACCTCCGTCCAAGATAAGAAAGTCATTAACCACCTTCAGTCTAAAATTGAAATGAGAGAGAAAAATGTTGCTTTTACAATTTTATTCAATTATCTTTCTATGAAAGCCTTGGTAATTTATATATCACTGCACTTGAAACGCAGTTGCTGAGATTCCTTTGGAGAACATGGTTCTCAGTGAGTGTTTTGATCTTCTTTTTCCTACCTATGTGAAGGCCACTACTATCAGAATGCATTTATGTCCTTGATAATTCTCAAGCTGACATTTATAAAACCACCTGGGTGTGCTCACTTGCATATTGTCAGAGGCAACTGCAAAAGCCAGCCTTTTCTTACTGCCCACAAAAACCTACTGTTCCTTTTAAGACATAAAGCCAGGCCCAGAATAATTGACCATTCCTAAAAGAAGCTAGACCTCAAAACCCCACAACGTGGGCTAGAAACTCTTTTTACTATTAATTCTGACTTGTCATACTGGCTTACATTAATTTAATCTGCACCACTGTGTATTGCCTCTGAAGTACACCTACAGTGAAAATCTCTGTTGAAAATGTATATGGTCCCCCCGTACCAACCACACTGCCACTTATCAACATACAGAGCACATCAAAAAGCGAACTAAAGAAGTTAGTAAACTTACATTCTTGCCAAATGCAATTTTCAGCTATTTGTGTACATTTGTCCCTGGAGGCATTCTTGCAAGCATGTACTTCTGCTTCAATTTGTAGCTGTACTGCCGGGGGGAGCGCAGTGGCACTGCTTCAAGACTCACGCAAAGAACTAACGCTGTGGAAAGCACGGCAAAATACTTGACCATATCCAGCAATCGTGGTACCCTAAAAAAACCCCTACATTTCAAAGGGGTCTGGTTTTCACACAAAGATGTTTAGCAATTTCTGAAGATGTTTCATCATTAATAGAGGCACCAGTTTCACTGGCTGTTTTCCATTTAACTTGCATGCCCAGATTTTGACAAATGGGGCACATGACATTCCGTATCTCTTTTCTGTGGCTCCCCAACCTCATTCCTCCCCAGACTTATCGAATAAGCTACATCATCTGAGGAGATACAGGTCCCATAACTGCTGCCAAATTTCCATCTTCCAGTCAACGAACATAGACAAGACTGTAGATAATTTATTAGTGAGATCTATTCTGTCTTATCTGAAATTACCTATGTGTATTCAGTGTAAGCACTAATTAAATATAAGATCCAGTCACTGACTAGCCACTGCTTCCTCCAGATTCCTCTGAGACTTCTTTCTAATGATTACCGTCATATATGGCACTGGGTTGTACCAGTAAGAACCAGACCCAGATTCAAACATTCATGTAGGTGTCGTGTGCTACAGGAATGACAGACACTCTTGACTTGGTTTTTACAACGGCTATCAGGCTGAGTGCGTTATGTACAGCTCATCATATGGAAAAACATATTCTTGGGGTTACTTCTGAAATTATATCTTCTCTCAGGCAATGCACGTATCTTAAGACCACAAATTGGATTCTTATATGAACCATAGATTCAACCCAAGTTACTTCCCGCCCTCAGGCACTTGAATCACTCTTTGTATAAGGAAGACAGTCGCTCTTATACAGTTGCCTATACAGGTGATTATAACAGCACTCATCCTGTAGATAGCCGTGTAGTAACCTGAGGTCTTGCCCAGGAACTGAAAGACCTGGGTTGTGACATAGTTGTGACCCACAACCTCCGAAGCACGGAAGAGAACCTGGGACTTACATGATGGATAAGTCACAAAGCCATTACAGAGAAAAAGATTAATGACTTGATTGCCATCATCCTATACTTCCCCTCCTGACACAATCTTGACTTTGAAGGGCTGTGGTTTCTCTGCTCTAAGCTGATCACAATGTTGTCAGTTGATGCCAGTTATATTGAGAGCAAGCCAACCAATGAGAGGGCTCGGTACAGAGACCCCTAATCTGTGAATCCCACATGGCCCGAAAGGGCATAGATTAGTCAAAACAGTAGTGGGTAGACAGAGCTTGAGTAACTTCACTAGAAAAAGCTAATAAATGCCCAGGCATCTTTATTGTCCCAAAGTTGTAACACAATTTTTCTTACTCCCCCCCTTTTTAAAAGAAACTAGCCCGCTCTCTGTACAAGATATAAACAGGCTTGATTATGTGAAAATGTACAAGGGTTTGCTTCACAGGGCATGGATGTCAGACAGACAACAAACAGACTTCCAGCGGGTGACACAGAGCAACAAAATTAAGCTCCTGTTCTGAACTTCCCTGCAGAGGAGGCTCAGCCCATTGCCTGTAACAGGAGCTGAGGATAGCCGGCTAACTCAGGTCAGCACTTCACGTTGACTGCTATGAATATTACATACAATAACCCCTCTGAGGGCTACAATGGCCTCGTCTTGCTTTTCTTCAAACCCATAACAAAACTTTAAGAGGTGAAAAATTTGGTGAATTAGATATGACGAGTGACAAGAAAAGGCAACATCTGCTATATCCAGCAACGAGGGTATCATTCTTACAAAGGTTCTCACCCACCCACGCGAAGCCTATAATTAGACGCCATGTGGGCAGGTCCGCACCCACCGTTGTGGGACTGATTCCAAGTGAAAAGAGCCGGTAGCAACCAGGATTTGACAGGGAGCTGGCTGAACGGAGCTGGCAAAGCAGCAACCCCTCCTGCATTCAGAGCGGTAAGTGGCTGAAAACTTGGTCGGGTCTTTGGGCAAGCGTCCTTACTAACTGCTGGTTGGGACTGGAGGACTGCAAGGAGTCCTGCTTAAGAAAAGACAGGCTGAATGGTATGGTCAACAGGCAAAAAGCAAACAGCAGCACTCGGAGTGATCCCAAGGAGAACCTGGCAGCAGCTACAAGGCTTAAAACTTTTCAATTCCAGGAAATCCCAGCAGGAGATGAGAATTTCTGGGCTGCGATAATGTAAAGCAGCTAGGAAAACAGGGTGGATTCAGTGGGGCTAAGGTAATTTAAGACTGAATATATCCCTATGTTTTTAAAGGAAGAACAAAATGACAGTATTTGCACATGGAATCTGGACTTTTTTTTTTAAAGGCAAAACGCATGAGAACACAGATAACAGCTGAAATGAAAAGGGAGGATAAATTAGGTTACAAAATCAAACATTAGGAGCACCGCAAATTTAAAGTGAGAATTTAAGTGGGGAAGAATTACAGAGCTGTTATATGAAAGAATGTGGCAAACAAAATATATTTTGGTAGACTACCATATACAGAGAAACTTGAATTAGTCATCAGCAAGGGTTATTCTGCACTTTGGAAATGGCAAAAGGAAAACAGTGTTGGTCTTAGAGTTGACTAAATTTAACAGTAGCCTAATCGTGAAGAGGGACAGTGAAGTTCCTCCTGGAGAGACAGATGAGTGGCCAATGGTGGCCAATGGCAAGTCAGATGAAAGATCCCTAGTTCGCATAAAATTGGCACAGCCGCTTCCCAAAACTGAATCATGTTTGTTGGGGTTTTTTTTATGATGCTTGCAGTCAGATTAAATGATCATAATTGTCTCTATACATTTAAACACAGCAAGAGTAGGGTCAAGGTGAGGATCCTATTATTTGGAAAATCAGAGCAGATACTGCACAAAGTTCTGAAGTGGGAAGACAAGGACTTGATATTTAATAGGTTTTCTTTACTATAATCTCACAATTTCTTTACATTGCTCACCATTTCTAAGCAATTGACCTAAACATCTTAAAAGCCCAAATCTTACTGCATCCTCCAATGATGAACAAATATATGTACACCTCTGCATGCTTACTAACCTTTTATTGGAGCGCGTCCCGCATTAAACGCCTCGAGAAAAAAATTTGCATTACTATTCTGAGTCAATATTTCAGGTTAATGCTCTAGTCCACTGTCTCAGATTCAGTTTAAGAGGTCAGTAGATGCTCAGAAAACTCTATTACCCAGACCAGACAACAAAAGTGAGCCCTGCCTTGCCTCGGTTACTACTTTGTATTGGGTGGTTTGGAGAAAGAAATCTACAAAAGGTTGTGGACAGCTTTGCTCCACTGCAGAATTGGTTTATCTAATGTTAAATTTGTGAGTTTCAGAGCTACACAATTAAGACCAGTTTCCTCCTGGAGAACTTCACTGTACTTAAAAGTTGATGAGCCAGCAGGAAAGGAG